GGGGGGGGCTGAGTAGCCACAGAGCCAGTAGCAGCAGCGGGAGACTTTTGCCACGGCTGCGGGTGAGACAAAGCGCGTTAGGGAGCGCCGGTGTGGTGACGAGCCATATGAGTGTGTACCCGGCCCTGCACCTGATCACGTCTCCGTCCGCGCGCCGACACGCGGGCACCCCCTGCATGCGCGCCGATGCATGCTGCGCCCCCAGACCGGCTGGGTGGCTCCCTGCAGCCCGCCTGTCTTCGCACGCGGCCGCTCGCGATTTTATTCCATCTGAAAGCAGACAAAGAATAACCAAGGCGGCGATCCCTAATGCGGCCAGCAGGGGGAGCAGAGAGAGAACAGAGCTACATCCGAGCGCATCCGCTGTCATTACGGCCTTAACTACTAATGCTTTGCGCTAGTGGACCTTCGTATTAAGGCTGCCGGTTATTTGATTGTGTTTACAGTAACTGCCCGGGCTTGTGGAGAGAAATCAACTTCAGCATGCAATATTAAACACCATTACTGTCCACAGCCTTCACAGGACCGAATCTCTATTGATGATAATAATAATAATGGTAATAATATTACTAATGATTATTATTATGAACTATGACATTAATCATTATAATTACAATCCTCTCTAATATCGTGTCAAATAAAAAAAAATCACAATCATAATCATATATTTATAGATTAAAATTTTTATTCATTTAAATATTTTCAGATCCGTTTTACCTGATATTAGTCGGATTGTGCTGCGCATTCGTTTCTTTTTAATTATGTTACATGTAAGTTCTGAGTAAAAAGGGAGAATAATCCAAACTATCTGAATATAAATTGGGGAAGGGACGGTTCCCCCGTTGTCATGTTTTCTTATGACTCTCCGAAGCGGGTTTTATCTCGAAATAAGCGAGAGGTCGCTAATATGTGGTCCTCGGTCGATCGGCCGTCAGCCTCCCGCGGAAATAAAAGGGGTTTGTGTTCAGGAAGCTGCCGGGATTTCCCATCCTTCCCCTTGAATTAGATATTAAGGTCCTTGGCAATCCTAACGCAGCCCCGAAATTGCCGAAACGTGCGCATTTTTCTTACTTTAATGGAAGGTCTTTGCCCTCCTGTTTTATAAGCGCTCTCCCAGGCTCCAGCATGTACGAAGTGTCAGTACGGATGTGGAAATTTGAAGTAATGAATCGTCTCAGTTTACAAAAGTTATTTTTAGACCGCACCGTGCCGCGTTTAATCAGTCTTAGAGCAGATATTTCTTGTGGCACTGAGTTAGTATTAAATGTCTTGTTCACACCATTCAACAGCCGACCTTCCGAGACAAGCTTGTTCCTCTCTGACAGGACTGTACTGTCTCTACCGTAGGGCTGGATATTTAATACCTAAACAAATCCACTAGATGGTGCTGAGTGTGACGTTTGCGAGATGCCAAGCCACTGTAAACGTCCTCAGATGGCTGTCAGCTGTTTCGCCTCATCGTAAGCTGAGGAAAACCCTTTAATCCCCCCTTTACATCAACAACCGATGCCCAATCCTTTGCATAACCGTTCAAGGAGCCGTTCCTTTAAAAAAAAAAAAAAAAAAAAAAAAACGGGATAGTTTAGTAAGCAAGTAAGTACTCGAGGGTGGCAGCACGGCGGGGAATTAAAAATCCGGCATCAGTGACGCGTTTCCTATGACCTGGAGTGCTCCATAAGGAAGGCTCCGGAATGTCGTACCAAAGCAGAGCTAGGCTTTTAATTAAAACTAGACTGGGCTAAAACAAACAAGCCGCTCTTGCGTTAATTTGAGTCGAGGCGCCGCGGACGGGCAGATCTAGTCACACCCCGTTGCGCGACGCGCGGAACGTGCTTCTTCTGTAGGTTTGAGAGAACAGCGAAGCGAAAGCTGACCTTGGCAAGTGCTTCTGTAAGCCTGGGGCTCAGATAAGGTGTAGAGGCGTACCACCAATGCAGCACCGAAACACGGACCAGTCCCGTGCAGCAGCGATGTTTACCACACATTTGCATGGGGGCCCCGAGCTTTGAGGCTCCCCTGCTGGCCACAAACCATCATTACACCAAATGTTAAATAAACACGCTCCTCATTTATAAGATACTAAAGCACCATGTTCTGCTAATCAGCTCGTTATTCTGATTCATTCCTAACTACTTATTTAGTTTTGGAACATCAAAGGGAGCAAAGTGAATGTGAGTCGGCCGCCGGCCCTCCGCACTCCGTCTGCGTTCCCCGTTCACACATTCATCTTCATTCAGTCTGTCGGCTACTGACGATTATTACTTCGGTTTATCGGCCAACAAAAAGACTTCCCTGGGTTTGTCGGCACAGCGTCTAATAGCTCGAGACTCGTCTGGCACACTCAAGCCTGTCATCGTGCAGATCACATGACCCTCCTCAGCCTCACCCGAGGCGTCACGGCTGACTTTGCACTATCGTATCGCCGCTGCAAATTCTGCCCTCTGTCACGCTCGGCCCGTCCGCCAACAGCGGTGCTCGTTCCCGGGACCGCATGACCGTACACGCTACGTCTGCCGACACGTGTCGCTCGCAAAGAGAGCGCCGCGATTTGCGTGTTTTACATGCTCACAAACAAACTGTCACCCTGGAGCTGGTGGACAGTGAAATTCTTTAAAAATTGAAATTTACATAATTAACATAACCCTTTAATAAGAAAAACATATGGATAAAAAAGAGGAAGATGCAGAGTTTGTGATAAAAACATTTTCATATCACCTGTATCGTATTGTCTTTGCAAAGCAAATGAAGTCTCTAAAACAGAAGGATCCTCCTACCTGCATTTACACCAGTAACCTAAGCTGGACTGTCGGCCTTATCGCTCTTCGGCTTTGGTCTTATTTTTTGGGGAAACACGCCTCCTCCGCCGTTCATCACGTTCGCGTAAAACCGTAACAATAATAAACGCCAAAATCTGGACGACTCTCTGAGTTGCGGGTAGTCTCTGTTCCAAAATTCACTTAGACCATCAGCAGACTGGCAGAAGGCTGCCATTCAGGAAAACGACGACCGAGACAAAGAGCCGACGCTGACAGCCAGACCTCTCCTGGGATACACAGATTAGTAAATAAGCTACAGGAAGCTGCAGAGGGATCTTTTCTGCAACGAAACCCCACGTATTAATATGAATGCACACTAAGCACTTTAATTAGCTAAACTGGTAGTGCGGACCTGCCCAAGGGGTTTATTAGACCACATTATTGATGACATTGAGCTACCAAACCTGAAGTGATCAGGGCACCATAAGCAACAGGACATTATTGTTTAAAAGAGAGCAGGAACAGTGTCAGGTTTGACCCTGGGCGTCTTTAATCGTGCAGCTAGCAGCAGACGCTAACTGCTCAGGCACACGGGTGTCTGTTACACACGTCACCGCGAACTGGCCCAGATTACGGCTAATATCCCAGGGATGGGGCCAAAATCAGGCGGGGAGGGGGCAGGTGGAAAGTTCACAGAGTCAAACACAGAATGCTTGTTGTTCACTTTAGCCTGGGGGGTGGGGGGGTGGATTCTGATGTCATGTGTGACGCCGCAGCTCTGACCTTTGACATGGTGCTGATCCAGAGAATCCCGAGGGCAGAGTCTGGCTTTGGCGCAAAATGGAAAAACATGTTTCTCCTGAGGATCCGGGCCGCGGGGTTTCCCTGGGACAGACGCAGGGCTTCGCAGCTTCAAGTGCACCCAAGTGGAAGGCCCCGCTCCCTTAGAGCCGTCCGCGGGACTGCCCGAGTCGGCCTCCTTCTCGGTCTCCTTCGGAACGGACACAGAGGGCAGGTCGTGAGTCCAACATCCAGTCTGCGAGCAGTTCATTCGCAGCGACTACAAAACGTGCTTAAACAAATACGACAAATAACCTCAAAAATAAAAACCTCGGCTTAAGGGAGTCGAATTTCCGTAGCCTTCCGTCTAAAGCCCCCCCCCACATCCCGTTGCTGCCTAATTCCAATTGGGGAAGGATTTGAGTGCGTCGCGTCCTGCTGAAGCCACATTCCGTTTATCCCCCGTCTAAGCAGCAGTCAGACTCAGAAAAGCACATATACTCTACCGAAGGGGTCATACGATTCCCATGGAAAATCCCATTTTACCTGAATATCCACTGACACAGTGAGAGCTTTCACCACAAACACCTCACGCTTTTTATAGGTAATTTACTGACTCCGAGACCTCATTCAAAATCACAGCAGCACACACCAAATCCGGTGCTGTCCCACCACCGCATGCAGAATTGTCAATGGCGTCCTGCACGGAACCCCCTGCTGCGTGAGACGGGCTCCACCCCCTTCCCCCGTCACCCCACGCGTTATACGGCACGTGCTGATTGAATGATAATTTAAAGATTCATTGTATATAATGAAAACAAAAAATGGAGGTTCACTGTGATCTCACACCTCCCGGGTCTGGGGTTCGAATCCTGCCTGAATGGCGTCTCTGAATTGCTCAGTGTGTGTGATCTACAGGTACCATGTAATGGACTCTGCCCTGTGCCCTGAGCTGTGTGGGAGAGGCTGATCCCCTGGAGAAACAGATGGATGGGTGGGTGGATGGATGGATGGATGGATGGATGGATGGATGGATGGATGGATGGGAATGTCTTCCTGGCCCAAAAACGCCTTAATGCTATAAGAGGTGTGCTGTTTTTCTGTCGGAATCTCAGCCCTGTCAATTCATGCCCCCTCCGCAGACAGACTGATCAGAATCGGACCCAAAAAAGCAAAAGAGTAAAGGCCCCTCCCTGACTCGTGGTTCAGGGCCGGGGGGGGGGGGGTCTCCTGGTCATGATCGACAGGTGCGTCCTCTCCGGCAAATCAATTCCCTCCAGGACTCCCTCCCCCACCCCCCACCCACCATCTGCTTGAGGGGAGCTCGGAGCGGCCCGGCCACGCCCCTCATCCTCATCCTGTCCCTCATTCGCTGCACATGCGTGTGCGAGGGCGGTTAGTGTCTGCACACGTGTGACTCACGCGCACCCACACATGTGCGCGCTCACAGACGCACCCTCACAGGCGCAAGCTCCCACAGCTGATGCCACCCAGAATGGCTTTTAAACACCAAAGACGTTAACTGGACTTGTTTCGAACACAAAAACACAAAATGATGGAGTGTTTCTGCACCGGACAATGGCCCAGAGCGAGGCTGGAGTTTACAGAGCTACATGGAGAGCCTGACAGACTCCATAACAGGGCAAAAATGAAACCTTTTCCTGCTGAAATTAGACCAGCACGCATGACTTTATATAGGCAGCCTGGATCTAAATGGAATTCATTTAATAACAGTTAAAAGGCTATGACTGGACGCACTGCAATGTCTCAGATAAGCATCGTCAGTTACATACGCCCGTCTGAGATGTTTGCCGTGGTTTTGAACAGCTCCTGTGTTCTCAGTAATATATTTAACTTCCCTTTAAATAAAACTCCACGCTGCCCCCGGTGACACCTACAAGTGAATCGTCACGTAAAAACGAGCCACGATAATAATGGTGCGGCTGGAAGTGTGAAAATGCCCCGTTACATAAACTCTCCGGATGTCCCCACCGAGCGGCGCCTTCCTCTCACAGACGGCCGACGTCTCGTGACGTAAGTCATCGTTAACGCCTGAGGGGAAGCGTTTTCACCGTCTCCTTCCGTCTCCGGCGCTGGTGACCCCACGCGTTCCGACGTCGAGGTTTGTAACGTCTGTAAAGCTTACAGAAAAACGGGGAGGGCAGACCAGTACCTGCGGTGAGGAAGACTGCTGACTCTTCTCCAAGACCTGAGAAGAAGAGGCACACGGGGGCGGGTTTAGAGAGGGAGACGGAAAAGAAAAACTTTGGACAGATGTGCAGCGGAGACTGTCAGGGTTTCAGGAGGACGCGGAAGAACACCTCCGTGCGCCTCGTGTCGACGTGCACACGAGTCCCCCTGCCTGGAGGAAGACGCCGGCACTCTGTGCCTGCAGTACCAACCTGCGTCTGCTGGGAGGGCACGTGTGGGCGTGCCTTCGAATCCCCCGTCTTCTCCTGCAGGAGGCAGAGCACGGCATCAGTTAAGCCGCTCACCGTTTTCGTCCAGACGCTGCGGCAGGCGCCTCACCCTGGCGGCCTTAGCAAATTACCTCCAGTAGCTTAGACAAGACGCTCCTCTCTCCCTCAATAAACATGCGCATCAGACAGGCATTTGCACACTAAAGATGTCAGCCGGACTTGTGCCGGTCACAGAAACGGACAAATGCGGAGCAAGGCTGGGCTTCTCATCGACCTCGGAAGGCAGGAAAGCCGAGAGATGTGCGTGCTGAAGGTGAGGCCTGTGACCCTGCGGGTGTCGGCAAAGTTTACAGACCAGCTACAATGACAGGGGGAAAAAAATTGCCGAATTTGGGCAAATTCTCGCCCTCACTTGTTATCCGTGAGGCAGGATTCCTGCATCACACGTCATTGGATGGATGCAAAACTCAAGCTGACATTTATCCTATATAATATTTAGTCGTTTAATGATATTTGGATGGAATCAGGGAGAATGGACTTGGCTTCATTTCATTCCATTGACGGGCAGATGAAGGAGTAAACAGAACCTGTGACACATTATCTGATGGCGTCCCATCCAGGGTGCCCCCTGCCCCCTGCCCCCTGCCCCCTGCTCCTCCCCTGTGCTTCTGTGGTTGAGCTGCAAGCTTGGCTGGACTGATTATAGCTACAAAAAAAAAACCAGCGGACACCTAAGAATTTCTGCTGTGAACCATGAGCACCGATCAGCACAGCTGAACTTCTCCGCTCCTCATTTCGCCGGCAATTAAGTCTCGCCAAGCTCCGCAGATTTCCCTTAATTCCGTGTTTAATTGAGGACTGCCGAGCGCGCTTCTCTTCTCCTTGCACTCGTCTATATATTTATCCACCGGGTGCCATCTTGGATGCACTGCGCTGAGCGCATGCGACCGATGAGGGCGTCCGTCCAGCGGAAGCGTCCAGCCGGGCTCCCCGCTGTGCCGACGCGCTCGAGGCGCACGTCGCGTTGCCATGACAACCGCGCAAATCTTCTTTTTTTGCCAAAGGAGCCGCTTTTGCCTCCATAGATGCCCCCCCCCCCCCCCCCCCCCCCCCCCCACCCCCACACG